AAAAAAAAAAAAAAAAAAAAAAGTGAGCATCCTGTAGCACAAGCCTGCCATCCATCCCAGTCCACTCAAGAAGTTGAAGCAGGAGAATAAAAAATTCCATGCCAGCTTGGGCTGCAGAATGAATTCAAGGCCACCTTGGGAAAATTAGTGAGATTCTGTCTCAAGATAAAATAAAAATTCCAGAGATGTAGATAATTCAATGATAGAGCCACTGCCTAGAATTCCCCAGTGAGGGGCTGGGGTGTGGCTCAGTGGTAGAGCCCCTGCCTAGAATCCCCCAGTGAGGGGCTGGGGTGTGGCTCAGTGGTAGAGCCCCTGCCTAGAATCCCCCAGTGAGGGGCTGGGGTATGGCTCAGTGGTGGAGCCCCTGCCTAGAATCCCCCAGTGAGGGGCTGGGGGTGTGGCTCAGTGGTAGAGCCCCTGCCTAGAATCCCCCAGTGAGGGGCTGGGGTGTGGCTCAGTGGTAGAGTGCTTGTTTATGAGAAGCTTTTCCCAGCCCCCACCTGTACACACACACACACACACACACACACACACACACCACAGAAAGAGGAAAGATGCCAAAACAAAACAACAGATTGGAATTTGTTTTATTTTTCTGTGAAATATTTAAAATAAAAAGATATTATCTACCAACCGTTGGTCATAGTGATGATGTCACCATGATGGTGGCAAACTCATTCAGCTGTAGATATTATGTGTCTTTTTTTTTCCCCTGGGGGGCAGAGTAGATCAATCCCATTCAGTAAAGTTCTTTCCACCATATCAGAGCTGCCCCCAACCTGCTGTGAGGAAATAACTCTATTTGGGGGATGGTGGTGTTGAGACATTGTTTCTCTGTTTCTCTCTGTGTAGCCCTGGCTGTCCTGGAACTCACTCTGTAGACCAGGCTGGCCTCAAACTCACAGAGATCCGCCTGCCTCTGCCTCCCGAGTGTGGGTACTAAAGGTGTGCGCCACCACCGACAGGCGAGAATAACGCTCACTCTGTCTTTGCAGGACCCTCAGCTGTGGGCTGTGTTCTCCCAGCTTCAGGATGGCCTGCCCCATGCGTCTGGTCCTCCTCCTCGTCTTCTTGCTGAGTCTGGCAGAGACACCAGAAGCTGCGCCTGTTCACAGGGTAAGGCTTCCCCCGCTTTTTTTCTTTCTTTTTTTCTGGTTTGATCCAAGGGGTCACACTAATGCTGTGAAACTGAGAAGAAAGACAGGAGGTGACCTCATCAACTTGGCCCTGGGCGCGGAGGTGAAGACAGGTGAAAATACTTGGCTGGGAATCAGTTTATTCAGCCGGGTGTGATGGCACCCACCAGTGATCCCAACACTCAGGAAGCTGAGGCAGAAGGGTGGTGAATTCAAGGCCAGTGGACAACATAGTGAGATCCTAATTAGAAATAAATAAATAAGAAAGGAAATGAGAAAAAAAAGGGGGGGGCGATAGATGTAGCTCAGTTGGTGGAGGGCTCGTCAGCAGGCAGGAAGCTCTAGATCCCATCCCCATCCCAGCACTCAGGCGGCACAAGGAGGAGGATCAGGGATTGGAGATTAGCTTGAGCTAGTGACGTAGAGGCTAGCCTGGGCAACATGAGACCCTGTCTGAAGGAAACATGAAAAAGGAGGGCTGTCGAGATAGCTCAGCGGGTAAGAGCACTTGCTGTGTGGCCTACGACATGAGTTTGGTCAGAAGAAGAGAGCTGGCCTCTGAAAGTGGCGCCCTGACCTCCACAAGCATGCGGAGGTGTCCATGTGCTCCCCTCTCCCACTAACGACAAAAAGGAAGCAAAAGAAAAAGCCAGCCTGGTGGGTGATTGATGCCTGGAATCCCAGATCTCTGGAGGCTGAGGCAAGATTCCTGCTACACTGAGGCCAGTCAAGCCTCTCTAGCCGGTCCTCATCTCAAAGCCAGCAACAAACTTGTGGGGCAGTGGTGGCACACGCCTTTAGTCCCAGCACCCGGGAGGCAGAGGTAGGTGGATCTCTGTGAGTTCGGGGCCAGCCTGGTCTACAGGGTGAGTTCCAGGACAGGCTCCAAAGCTACACAGAGAAACCCTGTCTCAAATCAAAAGAAAACAACCAAAAACAACAACAAAGACAAAAAAAAAAACCCGACAACAACAAACCAAACATACACCAGACATGGTGAGCCTTGCCTTTAATCCCAGCTTGCAGGAGGCAAGGACAGGCCAATCTCTGTGAATTTGAGATGAGCCTGGTGTATATGGTGAGTTTCATGCCATTCAGGGGTTAGCGAGACACATAGTGAGACACTATCTTTTTTTTTTTTTTGAGACAGGGTTTCTCTGTGTAGCCTTGACTGTCCTGGAACTTACTTTGTAGACCAGGCTGGTCTCAAACTCACAGAGCTCTGCCTGCCTCTACCTCCCAAGTGCTAGGATTAAAGGTGTGCGCCACCACACCCAGCTGAGAAACACTTTTTAAAAAAAATGGCTAGGGGGTGCTCAGTGAGTAAAGCCCAATGTGGGGACTGGAGGATGAATCCTGAGTACCCTTGTAAGTGCCCATATTTTTATTTTTATTTATGAAACAAGATTTGTATTCGAGAGCTGGGCATGGAGGCATATGACTTTAATCCCAGTACTATGGAGGCAGAAGCAAGAGAGTCTCCATGAGTTCCAGGCCAGTCTGGTCTACATAGAAAGTTCCAGGACAGCTAGGGCTACATAGAAAGACGCTGCCTCAAAACAAAACAAAGAAAATCTCTATTCTAGGCTGCTGCTCTACGACTCCCCATGTAGCCAAAAATGACCTTCCGGCCCTGCACTTCCCCATTCCACTTCTGAAATGCTGGTGTTACAGGTGTCTGCTCTCACAGCCAGTTTTAGACAGTGCTGGGATTCAAACCCAGGGCTTCCCACAGGCCAAGAAAGCACTCTACAGACTGAGTGACACCCTGGGCCACCCCCTCCAAGTTCTTTGTCAAGTTATAATTCAGTGTGAAGTTAATGGGTGGAGCTGCCCTTGACAGGCAATAAGATAGGGTCTGGCTTAGGCAGGTTAATAGAACTAAGGGATATGACCCCAAGACAGAATCTGAATACAACAGAGAAAGTTCAAGTGCTCTGTGGTACAGCACAGTGGCTGCAGCTAACAGCTAACTTTAAAATGTTCGCAGAGTCGGGTGTGCTAATCTCAGCACTTGGAGGCAGACACAGGAAGATCAGAAGTTCAAGGTCATCCTGGACGGATAGGAATTTCAAATCCCTTCTCAGCCTTCTGGCTAAGCTCAAGTGTACCAAATTCAAGTCTGGACTGGGGTCTACATGAGACCCTCTCTCAAATAGTCAAAGATAAAAGAATAGTAAAAATAATAAGTATCCTCATTACACATAGTCACATAAGTGATAAGCATGGGAGGTAATGTATTTTATCAATAAGGCTGTCCCACAAATTATATACGTCAATGCACTGTACTGTACTCCATAAACATTTCAATTTTTATTTGTATCTAAAAAGTTGCTAAAAAGGGGGAGCTGGAAATAATAGAGATTAAAAATACTTCTGCTTTATCAAAGGACCAGAGTTTAGCTCCCAGCACCCACGTCAGGTTGCTTATAAGAAAAAAGGCATAAGTCTTTCTTTTTTGTTTTTTGAGACAAGGTTTCTCTGTGTAGTTCTAGTGCCTTTCCTGGATCTTGTCCTGTAGACCAGACTGGCCTTGAAGTCACAGAGATCCACCTGCCTCTGCCTCCTGAGTGATGGCACTAAAGGCGTGCACCGCCACCGCCTAGCGAAATAAGTCTTTCTTTAAAAGGCTAAAAAGGACCAAAAAAGACAAAAGATTAGAATAGGCTCCGTGAGATTGGAAAAGCCTGACTGACTTGGAAGCAGCTGGGCCCGTGGCAATATACCCTCCCTCCCTCCCTCCCTCCCTCCCTCCCTCGCCTCTACCTTTCTTTCTTTTTCCAGACAGGGAAGCAGTTCTCAATCTGTGGGTCTCGACCCCCACACATCCAATACCCTGAACATTGGATTCTTACTTTAGGACTCACAATAGTAGCACATTACAGTTATGAAGTAGCAACGAAAATAATCTTATGGTTGAGGGGGTGGTCATCACACATGAGGGATTTTATTAAAGGGTCGTAGCATTAAGAAGATTGAGAACCACTGAGATGGGGTCTCATGTAGCTAGGCAGGCCTCAGACTAAACAGCTGAGGATAATTTCTTTTTGTTTGTTTGTTGAGACAGGGTCTCTCTGTGTAGCCCTGGCTGTCCTGGAACTCAATATGTAGACCAGGCTGGCCATAAATTCAGAGAGATCTGCCTGCCTCTGCCTCCCGAGTGCTGGGATTAAAGCTGTGTGCCTCCGAGGCCGCCACTGCCGCCACCACCACCACCTGGTTTCACAGAAACTTTATACATAGTAGAGTCGATGTTGACTGCTTGGACATGGTTATAAGCTGATAGAATATTAGGTGTTCAGGATCCCAGGGTAGCCCCGATCCTTTCTCAGGGTGAGACTTTAAGGACAAAAACCATAATCTCGGTTGACATAATTCACTTAACAAGAATGGTTAGCCAGACACGGAACTACCAGAAGCCGAAAAGCAAGGTTAGCACATTTAGAGACTTTCCCAGAACTCTGGACTTCAATAGACAAAGTCTTTGTTTTAGTTTTGGCAGGTGGTGCTGTCTACGTACTGAGTTTTATGGACAGAATGGGACTTTCATCATGGAGTCAGTTGTGCTAAGGCCTGGATCCCTGTTACAGTCAATTCCCCGTATACACTCCCTCCCAGTCATGTTTTAAGCATCATATTTCTTCAGTCTGTCTGTCTGTCTGTCATGGGGGATGTGAATCATGCAGTGAGAGTGTGGAGGTCATAAGATAACGTGCAGGAATAACATCTCTCCTTCCAGAAGGTGAGTCCTGGGGGTTGAACCCAGGTCATACTTGGCACCAAAGCCATAAATACCCATGGAGCTGTCTTGCCCGGGTCCTCCACTTGCTATATGTTATAGGAGGTCCTAATTGCACATGGCTGTGTTGCTGGCTAGTGCTAAGGCGATATGGTGATCTCCATCACCCTAGACTTCTGGGATCTTGCCACTTTCCTGTCTTAGTTCTTACTTCTTCATCTCTTCCAGGGACGAGGAGGCTGGACCCTCAATAGCGCTGGTTACCTCCTGGGTCCTGGTAAGTGCTTTTTCTCCATGCTCCATCCCTCACTCATGCCTACCTGGTGCCAGTGGCTTTAATACCCCGCCAAGAGGCTGGATTAGTTGTTTTCACATCACTGTGATCAAATATACCTGATAGTTCAGGGTGGATGGATTCATTTTGGCCGTGGTTTCAGAGGGGTTCGCTCCATCACAGTAGGCAAGGCTTGGTGGGCCAGCATGCATCACAGAGGTGGGAGGCTGTGGAAGAAGCCAGGGATCACTGGGTAGCCAGGACTATGGGTCAGACTCTAACTTTCAAAGGCCCGCCCCTAGTGACCCATTTCCTTCAGTTAGACTCCACTTTCTAAAGGTTCCACAACCTTCTAGAAATTCTAGGGGAATGAACAAGTGTTCAAAACCTGAGCCCCCGGGGGAATGGTTCAGATTCAAAGCATTCCATCCATATCTGGATGAGTCTGGAGGGTCAGTCTGGGCAGAAGCCTGGGTGCAGGACCTGTAATGGCATATGGGCTTAATCTCCCTGGGCCTCCATTTTGACTCTGAGACAGGGAGGACAATGGCAGACCCCACATTCTTGAGAGAGTTTTGAGGTTTAAGTAAGTTCGTTTATGTAGCTCATTCGGCAGAGCTCCTGCCTACCACACTGAAAACCTTGGGTTCAATGCTCAGATCTGTATAAAATTAGGTAATTTTATACACACACCTCTAATCTCAGCCCTTCAGAGGTAGAAGCAGGTGGATCAGGAATTCAAAGCCATGATAAAATACTTAGGAAATTTGAGGCTAGCCTGGGCTACCTGAGACTCTGTCTCAAAAAAAATAGTGATATAAAAAAAGAGGTCCCTCAAGATGGCTCAGTGGTAAAGGCATTGCAGCCTGATGGTGCACACGTGAGGGCCTGAGTTTGATCCTAAAACCCACATAAAGGAAGAGAGAAAGGATAAAGGTGTTTGCCTCCAAGCCTGATGACCTGAGTTCCTACAGGGTGTCTCTCCACAGGGGTGAAGCGGCGTGGGTGAGCCTATACACACAAACACATACAGGATAAAGAAATGCCCAAGGAAACGTCATTTTTAACAAATGAGTTAAGCAGCACTGGCACACTGTGGATACCAGCCTCTCTGTCCACAGTGGGTACCATAGCATGATTTAGATGCCATGGCTTTCCTCTTTATTTTCTTCCATCCCTGCCTCTCATTTCCCCAATGAATGAATCTTAGGAGTTCGTATACTTAGCCACACAAAGCTCAGTTCTCACCAAATCCACCACACCCCATGCCTGAGGCTAGGCTCGGCTTGTTAGAAATTAAATTGGATTGAGTGTGGTGGGGTATGCCTTTAAATCCCAGCACTTGGGATGCAGAGGCAAGTGGGTTCAAGGCCAGTCTAATCTACATAGTGAGCTCCAAGCCAGCCAGATCTACATAGTGAGAATTGGTCCCCCGATATAAAGGAGATATAAAGTGTTATCTGCACTTCATCAGGACCCCTGCCCCCTGAGGCTGATGCCTGACAGTGCAAACCCGGGAACTAAGCAGCGTCCCCCTTCCTATCCTAAGTCTTCAGTCCTTTTATTATGAAATGGAGATCTATGTTTCTCAGAGGTCTACAAATCCTTAGGGCAGGGGCCAGCAAGTGACTAGGTGAGTCAGGGCGCTTGTTGGCAAGCGTAAGCACCAGAGTTCCATCCCCAGAAGGAGCCAACTGACTCCCAGAAGTTGTTCTCTGAGCTTATCACAT